GTGAATACACAGTCCATGCTGGCTGTGCCAGAGAGTTGTTCTCTAATGCCCCCTGCCTTCTGGCCTGAGCCACTGCAGACATGTGGCTGCATTTTCCAAATGAAAGGTAAATGTCTGTTCACTTCTATTTCAATTTAATCTCTGCAGCTTAGACTATCCTGCAAAGATGATCAACCAGCCTCGGTTTTTTTGACTGTCTGTACTTGGACAGGAAGACTGAAGGGGCAGATTTTTTTTACTCTGGATTTTGTTGATATCTTCCCCTTTTGCTACAAGATGACAAAAGGCAGAGCAAAGACTGAAAAGATCAGGCCCAAAGAAAATGAGAACAGGGAATACAAGCAAGGAACAACATCTTGGATTCAGAAAGAGAGAGAGAAAGATTTGTAAAGAGATCATAAATGAAGATCAGCTAAAATAAATATAGCATTCAAGTCAATGACTGTATTGATAAAATACTATATAAATTAACATGGCTAACAGAACATTTTGAGAGAAATTGTACACATTATGAATGAATAAAATTACAAATATCTTCGATTTCAATCCATACATTTCTTATATGACCTACTGAACTATGATACTTTTTTTTGTCTTACTGAAAGTATTCTGTATCCCATAGTGTTTCTAAGGGGTAGCATGGGATGACACAAAGATGAGTCAACATTCTGTGTTTAGGTGCCTTACTCATTTCCTGAATGACAGTGTGGAACAGAGTCAGAAGTGTATTAAGTTTCCAACCATTCTCAAACAGCAACAGGTGATCAAGAAAAGTGTCTTTCTACAATATGTCACAGATAGCTCTGCCTTGGAAAATAACCGACTGCATTAGTGGCAGCCAGTGGCACCAACTGATATGTGGAATGAAAAAGAAGAGGAACATCTGCATTTATATAGTGAATGAGCCTCAAAGTGTAATTAATGCCTTGAAGCATTTTCTGAATTCAAACAAAGTATTTATATGTCTCTATTCAGATCCTGAGATCATGTTATACTAAACTCTCATTAGCTACCTGGAATGTATACTAAATCACCACTTTAAACAATTAATCTAACAATGCAGAATTATTAAGTTGACAAGGTTCTTTGGGTGAATCTGATATCTTTTATGAGACCAACTTAAATAGTTGAAAAAAACAAAGGGTTTTTAAACCCGAAAGCTTGCTAAAAATTGTTTTTCCAACTATTTAAGTTGGTTTAATTAGATTCACCCAAAGAACCTTGTCTGCCTATTAGGGCTGTGCAAAGCTTTGGTCCCTGATTTGATTCAGCAGAGATTTGGCCCGATTTGGTGGTCAAATCTCCAAATCCAAATTGAAATTAAAGGGTTAATCTCTGAATAAATTTGGAGCCCTCTGAATTGATTCGGACAGATTTGGTGATTCAGATGTAGATATAGCTTTAAATGTTTTTTCTACCTACCTCTAGGTAGCAGGGGCTCTGAATGCTGCAGTGCTGGGGCAGATGCAGAGCCCCACAGAAGCATAGGGGTCTCCCCAGAATGCTTGGCAGCAGACCTGGAAGTGGACCAGAAGCACTTCCGGTCTACTTCCTGGTCCACCAGGGAGTGCGCAGGGTCCCCTCCCCACTCTGCACCCCCCTGGCTCGGTGACTGGTGCTCCTGGGTTTGGGGGGGGCACCCAGGGTCTGCCTGGCTGATCGTTGAGCCAGGGGGGTATGGGGGGTGGGCAGTGCACTCCCAGGCAGACCCAGATGTGGAAGTACTTCTGGTCCACTTCCGGGTTCGCTTTTGAGCACTCTGGAGAACCCCCCATGCTCCTGTGGGATGTTCCAGGTGTCCCAGCATCACCGTGATCACGTGTTGTGCTGCTACCTCAACGTATATAGGAAAAAAACATTTAAAGTTGTCTGAATCACTGATTCGCCAAATCAGCATCGAAACTTCAGATATGGATTTGGCCGAATAGAATCAGGGATAGTGATCCGAATCAACAGATCGAATCACTGTCCCCGATTCAGGCCAAATCTAAACCTGAACTGAATAAGGCCCATTTCGCACAGCCCTACTGCCTATGTCCTTAGACCAACACGGCTACAACTTACACCCCTAAATTATTAAGTTGAAGCCTTTCTACTAACTGATCTTAAAGGTTGTACTTGATTTACTATTCTTTCCAAAGTAACTCAACGGACCCCTCTACAAATCTGCTATATCCAGCACAGGAAAGATGAGCCACAGCTTGAAATGTGTGATTCATTGATTGACATGGTCCTTGAGTTTTTCAGAGTTTATTTACACTGCTTCTCACATTCTATGGAGAAGCCTACATGCATCAGTTAGTCAAATCTTCAGCTAATTCCAAAGGTATTTAGATGACAGCAGTACTGTCAATGTGCTCCTTAGTCATCTGTGTCACTAAAAAGGCTAGCTCACTATAAATTTGATTATAGTCAGTATATATTGAACTTTGTTATCACTTCATTCATTTTTTAATGGTACCATTCATTGATACTCTCCCATCAGGGGCTGCCAGTAGAATGCAGCCTTAAACTCTGTTCAGGACTACGTAAGAATTTGTGCATTTTCAGACAATGTCATCACCTATCCTATTACTGCTAGCCACTTTGGACCCAGAATTGGCTGGCTGTGGGCCCCCCAATGAAACAGCATTTAGACATTTTGAAACACACAGCATCCATTATGCAGGCACCTCATTGCCAGGTCTTTAGTGTACTCTGTTCTAGTCTATCTAGACATGTATAGTGTGCACAACACCATATTATGTGATAGTGTATCCTCGAGGCACAGAGTAGTACTGTGCAGGCTCTTTGTATCCTAGCTCATGGGCTGGGGCAATATAGCTCTACTCATACAACGATGTGCTCAGGGTTATTTATTCTGCTTCTGAAAGCTATACTGCTTATGATGTGAGAGCTAACAAGGGCAGAGCTAGCTTGAGCATCTCTATGGGATGCTGCTTTGTGCTATGTAGATATAATTTGGTACTACCTTGGTCAGGAATTGAATGTTGGCCTCATAAGAATTCCAGCCAATGCTTCTGCTCTGCAATGGCTTATTCTAGCAGACATGAGAGGCTCAGTAGTGAAAAATACCTCTTCTATTGTATCCAGAACTTTCATGCTCCATCCATTTCCCTTGTTTTGTTTCTTAAGCGCAGTTATCCTCAATCCTTTGTGTTCTCTCATTTTCATATATATTTTCAAATATAATATGTGAAGAGAACCTATAATCCTTTAATATGTGAAGGTAAATTAAAACCTTTAATATATAAAGGTGATTGATTTCACAAATCCTGGAGGCTTGATTGTTTAAATTAGTTTTAGATTTTTGGGTCTACCTCTCAGCAGAATCAATGGCCACTGAAGAATCTATGCAGATCATGGAGTATCAGCAACCATTGGTCACAGGGTACCTAGAATAACATTAAGTATTGTGGATTCCCTTCAAAAATTAAGAAAGACAAAAAGAAAAATCCTTTCTAGAAACCAAATTCAAATTTGGAGATCCAACTCTGATTCTTTCCTAGAAGTCATGTTTCTAAACCTCATCAAAATAATAACAAAATAGGCATTTTTTTCATATGTCAAACCACTGTCTGCTATCTTCTAGAAGACCTTAGCTTCTAGCTTGAGGGCTTCATATCCTCTGGTTTTGTGTGCCAAAAAGCCAGATCTTATAGTTATTCTTAATTTACTTGGACCTCCAATTCAGCGATACGATGAGGAACACTGCAAAACAAATGTTATATTTATACCTACTTTCCAAAGTAGAAAGAAATCAGTGCTAAAATTGTTTTTTCATCTATGTTGAAATCCCACAAACACACTTCAGTGTAACCATCCAGTTACAAGAAAGTTGTTTTTAGCACAACTAACGTATGTTTCATTCTTACTGAATAGATAGGCCTTAACATTATTTGTATCTCCAGATATTACATTTTACAGTATAAAAACACACACTTTTAAAGTGAGCACATTCTTTTATGCGTTCAATTAGTTCCACAAACACAACATTGCCATGAAGTTAAAAACACTGCTGCACTTGACAAGTATTTTTGAGATAGTTACTGAAAACCTTGTACATTATGGAGGAAGTCCTGAGTCTACAAAAAGACAGCAGGAGTTTTGCTATTGATTTCAATGGAACTAAGACTGCACACTCCACACTTAATAGGTAGAAAACACCTTCGTATTGGATATTCATGGAGTGTGCTGGAATATAAGAAAAAAATTGAGGAAGTATACTTGCTGTTTGAAAAAATAATCTTTTATGGGAAGTCACTGACATAGTCAGAGATCCTTCATAAGATTTAAATCTGCTTGTATTTCCTGTATAATAGAGTATAGATTACATTGAGTTTCCAGCTTAAGTTTCTGTAGCTCCTAATGTAACTGCTTACATTAGGACTAAGTTGCCCGCATGTCTTTTAAGACAGGTTGCCTAAAGACAGCAAACATGCTGGGAATATGGAACAAAAACCAGTTTAGCTACCAGATTGCGTAATGCTAATACTGGGTAACAGCTTATTGAAATATTTTGTCTTGTCAGCTATGCAGTGGGAGTACAGATTATCTTTGCTCATAAATAGAGCTGGTTCTCCACAACTTGTGAATAATGAAGACAGTTTTCTGGCTGTAGGCTTTGCAGCTTCTGTATGTTATTGGCATGTCCTCCTTAAACTGCAAACAGAACAAAATGTTGATGACCAGCATTTTGCTTTATATAAAACTGCAGTTAAGAAATCATGTTTTAAAGTAGTTAGGGTTACTTTTGCCAAAGCAAGGTGACATTTCATTGCACGTTAAAGTGTAAGACATACTATTTGTTCATTCAGGTATGAATGATCCATTTTCTGTGTGAAGCCTTCACATGACAATTCAATCCATTTTAAGATCAAAAGAGTTTGAGAAGATTTAAACACACCTTCCCCAACCCATCCACATTCTTAGTTCCTTTTCCCCACTCTTCATCCTTTCCTCCACATAACACAACTGTACAGACACTATGATTTATTTACCTTTATCCCAGGGAGTCCAGGAAGCCCAGGGAGACCTGGTTCACCCTATACAGGAAAATTGCATAAAATTACAGAATAATATTCAGTTACAACTGATAGCCAGCAAACAGCCTATGTGTATATTGTAGCAGGGACAGTATGATATCACAGACCACCTATCTGATTGCTACTTAGTTCCAGGATCACTGAATCTCAGCCCAACATAATGTACATTAACCTAGAAATATGAGTAAAATTTTCAAGCTAGGTGACTAAAATGACTCCTATATCTACATTTAACCATAACAACTTATATGGACTAGGAGCCTAACAGACATTCAGATTGACGATTTTGGTAATTTTTTTTATTAAAAGGATAAAAAATACATAATAACAGCTCAGTACTGTCATTTACTGTATTTACAACAAATATTTAATCCTATACTGGCTACCCCAGAGAGCTCAGTTAAAATCATACACTTTCAGTGTTCACTCACTCACAACTGAACCATCATTTTATTGGAACCATCAGCACTATGAACATTTGGGAGCAAATGTTACAGACACTCACATACACCCCTCACACATCTACATGCAATAATCGACTACTGCATTTTTCAATAAATATGCTGTTTATTCATAACTGCATTTAAAAAGGGCTATACTTTCAAGAGGGATTTGTTTAACAGGAACTGAAGACTGATCACATTCATTTTGGAATAACAGATAAGCACTACAGTCACACATATAATCATTTAAACATATTCATTAAAATGAAGATGAAAGCATTACCTCCTGGGAGAAGAAAAATGATTGATAAACATCAATATTAAAAGGTATTTAGGATTGAATTTCAAGGAAAATGATTTTTGAGGGCAGGAGATTTCAGTTTAATACATAATAGAACTTAAACCAAAGCCCTGGATCTGAACATTTTCAGATTTTAGGGAAGTTCTGGCCCAAAATTTGTAGCCAGCCTCTACCCCTACATTTACTTGAACTATGTTCTGGGTTTATATAATTTTGAATTACAGAGAAATCAAAATGTCAGTTTTGTGGTTTTACTACACTAATAAAAATGTTCCTCAGCTTACATAATCAATTACAATATTTTTATTCAATAAGACTAAAATATACTTGAAGAACTTAGTGCACAAGTAGAGTTTAGCACATACTGAAAAATAACAGTTGATCTGAAAATGATTGATCAAACAAAGGAAATCTTAACATGTTAGAAGGTTCTGATAAGTATTTCTCCATCAATTTCAGTCATTCCATAATTTTAACAAATCATCTTGACTAAAATTACTGAAATGGATAATGTTAAGTGTGAAATAAAATGAAGAAATAAAGGAAGGATACTGGTTTCAACTGACTCTTTTAGCTGTTGCTATGCAACCTACCATTTACTAACCCAAAAATAGTGCTACTATTCCTATTCAAAGAAGGAATAGGAGTCCTAAATGATGGCACAGTAACAGGTGTTACCATGCCATGCTGGCAGCACAAAGTTATTTGTCTTATAGTGAGAGCACATCACTATGGTGACAAAGCTGCGGTGTCATGGTTTTTGCCCACCAACCCTATGTCACCGTAGCATCTTGTATAGACGCGCCAAGTCTGAATTACATTTACTTTTGGTAGAGAATTAGTCCACAAGTTCTAGTCCTTCATCTTATTTTCTTACCTGCAGACCCAGATATGCCAGTGAAACAAAGATATCAATCTTACAGTTTTCCTGTTACCAATGCTGAAATGAACATTACTATTTCTGTCAATTTTCAGATAACTAAAATTTACCATGAACATAAAATTTTAATAATGAAAATTATTAAATTGTTTATGTTTTATTTGCCTTGCAGTTGGCCACAGCCAGGGACCGGTACCAAAAAACAAAGATGGTACTTCAAAATGCTACAAATTTTAAGTACTCTCACTAAAAAGATTAACATGTGCTCACAAGTTAAGACCTTTTTAAACACAGAAAAATCAAAAACATATTTTAAAAGCTAGTGTTTCACCATGAATCATGTTGTAGTTGAATGCATGGTATTTATATTTCTTGACCTTTTCCAAAATACAAGACGTTGATATGATTTATGAATGTCTTCAGGACAACTAAAAGCTTGAATGCAAAATCCAATCCATTGCACTGAAGTGGTCAAGATTGTTATGGAACATGTATGTGACATAACTCAATAATATACAAGGTGGACTCATTCTTTTTCATACCATCATGCAGGGACCTAGTTTATTTGTATAAACAAAAATATTCATACCGTATAAATAAATGAATAAATAAATGAAATACATGATCTGGACTAAATCCTTCTGTTCTGTCCTTTTTTATTATTTTGTGGTGTCTGAAGGGAGTTTTTTTCTGAGTGAAGATTAAGGATCTGATCCAATCCTAAAACAAGTCTGGGAAGTCAATGAGTCTCTGCATGTATCTGTTCTAGTGAATCCCAGTGGTGGACTGAAATATTATTTAATCATAGGAAACTCCCAGCGGGTATTATAAAAGTGTATATGCTTTATGAGTTAGTACTCATGAAAGAAAGAAAAAAAATCTGGGAGATGGGCATTCATCAGAGTTTATATGTCTCTATTGGTAGGGTTTTTTTTTAACGTGTTCACTATATTTACATTCATAAGTCAATCTTGTTCAAAATGTGAGATGCATGGCATGCTGGCAATATAAATTCTTGAGACAAAAGATTATCCCTTGTGATGTCTCCCCAAGATTGAGGGAGCTACTTGTATTATTTCCTCTATTCTCAAGATACTAGAATACGTTTATTACCCCTTATCTATTTTTAGGATGTAAATTCCTTCCATCATTTTTTTCATAGAACTTCATATGCTTCTACACAGATAAAGCCATCATTTTACCTAACTTTAAATTAATGAGGGATTTGTGGGCTACTGGTTATTGTCCAAGCTAGAAAAGCTCTATGTTCAGCTTGATGACATTTCTATTTTGTCATTGTCTGTCTCTTGATTTATCATGATAATATGATTTTTTTTTAACAACAATTCCAGTAAAAAATGTTCTGGCAGCAACAGGCAGAATCCTGTTGATTCTGGAGCAAGTCAGAAAACTGTAAGAGGATAAGCACAGGACATGGAGCCCTTTTTTCTATTTAGCAGAATCATAGCTTTGAGGACTTCTGTCATTGTCTATTGTCATTGTATGGCACTTATACAGCACAACACCCCAATTCATCTCTACTCATGCTCCCCATAGAGCTTAGTATGCTCACACCCTGAACGATTTATCTTCCAGAAGGAAAGATGACAAATGATAATATTTGGGATGAAAGGTGGAATGGGGGAACAGTGACAAGAAAACAGTGCCTGGCATGTGGGGGCAAGTGGGATGCCCTAGTATGAAGGGAATGGGGAAGGAGGAAATGGGGGAATACGGAGCCTGACACGGGGTAGAAAAGGAGACCTTGGTACAAGAGAGGATTAATAGAGGCATATTGAATCTCTGGTGGTAAGGATATTGTGGGACACTGGTAAGGGGAAAGGTGGAACTGGGACATACAAAGTCCCTGCCTAGGGGTGGATGCTGCAGGGAGACTGAACTGAGGAGGGGTACACAGGGACAGAGACACCTGGACTTGTAATGGAGAGAGATGGGGGTACAAATGGCCTCTGCCATAGAAGAAAATGAAAGGCACACAGAGCCCCATGCATGAGGGAAGAACTGGAGGATTTACGGGGAGTTCTTAATACAGAGGGGCATGGAAAGGTAGCAAACAGGCTGCTTGTGGGGAGAAAGGCAAAGAGTCCCCTGTTGTGTACCATAAACTCAGCCTACAGATGTTTAGGAATGCACACTCCAGTTTTATCCCTATTATATCTATTACATCTATTACATCAAACCTGATTGTACTAGGCACTGAGATCCACTAGCCTGCTGATAAATCACTGCTGGTTGTTCCCTTCCTGGCACAGAGCAAATGACAATATGAATCTAAACATGTTTTAAAGTGCTTTATCTGGTTTATTATCCAATATTACACGTTCATGAGACAACATTTTAATGATTCCATAGATTAGATAAGTTAAAACTACTTTCATTAGCTTTTCTAATTAAAACTAAGTTTTACTGACAAATTACATTTGCATACTGTAATAGTGTTATATCTGTTCAGTCGTTACAAATCATTAAGATCATAATTTGTGATGGTGAAAACTTGAATGCAATTTTTTGCTTTGTTTCCTGATTCTTAAATTTTTTTTTTGGAATTCTGCTTGGCTTGAAAAAGGGACTGAATTTTAGAAAATAGCTGTCCCAATATTCCTATAGTCATATGATTTTAGTTCTTTCCTGACCCAAGTACTACATGAACGTTTCAGAGTTGGTTTCTGCTCTCCCCTGGCACAAGCTGTGGTTTCTTAGCCTAGCTATGGGTGGAACCCTGCAGGAAAACCAAGCTGCGATCCTGTCACAGAACTGCAAGTGCTGAAATCCAGTGTCACTTTAGCAATCCCAGGGCATCCTTGGATTTTGAGATGACAGGTTGTCATGGGCTCTCCCACCTATGCCTGTGTCCTACCCATTTTTTGGTGGCGGAAAAATAGGTCTAAGGCACAGGAGGGTAGTTAATGCTATTGATGAGACTGTGAATTTCCTACTGGAAATCTGGTAGGCTCAGGACGCTTCACAGCATATAAAGTAGCTGGATCCCTGGCTACTCACTACCCATCTTAGAAAGTCCTGGCTGCACACTGTCCAGTAGAAGGGCTTTTCAGGAGGGAAGAATAAAACAGAGCTTTTTAAATCCTGTGTCTGCCTCCACCAGTCTAAATCTTCCCTACAAGTGCCTCCAGCCCTCAGGTCACTATTTATTTCTTCTTAATGAGTTATAATAAAATACTATAACCTGCAGGTCAGTACTTAGTCAAACATGCAAGGTTAACTTGTTGGTATGCAGAAAGTAGAGCCGTTCATTGTTAGCTTCAGACTGTTGAGAACAGAGAGACTGCATACTTCCACTGTGGTAAAAACCATAAGAAAGGGGAAGATTACTCTAATTCTCACATTTCACTATAGGCAGTGTCATTCTACTGACAGTTCTGAAAACACAAAATGGTCATGAACAAAATGTGGACAGGATTTTAGCAAGCTGTTAAAATGCACTATCTTGCATCCATTGCTGTTACAGCATAAGCAATTATGTGGAGAAAAGCACCCTTGCTAATGCTCTATATAAATGTGATTTCATCATAAGTGTAATAGCAAGAACTGAGACTGGACAATTTCAGAGGGTTACCTTTTGTCCTGGACGACCAGATTCTCCAGGTTCTCCCTAAAAAAATAAAATTAAAAGATGTATAAAATACCAGATCAGAGCAAATGGCGGGGGGAAACATAACTGGGGAAGAGCACAAACGAACATTACATTAATAACATTAATTGTGGTCTAAAGCGCCAGGAAGTTTGCTCAAAGCTGACTACTATTATAAACAATAAATTACCTTAATTCCTGCAGCAGATGATCCAGGGTCACCCTAATATGAAATCCACAAAGAACATTGATCATGCTTATCATGTACATAGATTTGCATGAAGCAGATATAAGAAACAATATGGACAAAATTATCCTGACACAGTCTCAAGGTGCCTCTCAATTACAATAACAGTGAATATGCTCTTAGACACTGCATACCAATGTGACCATTGACAAAAAGTATTCTTCACAGGAACAACCCTGCTTTTAAAGAAATGCAGATGAGAGATTTTCTTTCCGTTTATCCTGACAACATAATAAACTGATTCATTTTATTGAAGTTTCTCAAGCAATAATAGAGTTGCTACAATAAATATGGATTTTAAATAGGTGTACAGCAGAAAGCTGGAAGGATGCCCAGTGTTTTGACATCTCCAGATTGCTGATGCACAGTAAAACTCATTAGCTGTCTTTTTCAAAGGGCATAACTGATCCCTTTGGTTTACGTCCACGGACGGCAAGTGTCAGGCCTGAAATGACAAAGCCTTTGTGTTAATGACATTCAGTCTCAAAGAGCCCAGTGACTCCTCCGTTTATCTTAATAAAGACATGTCACAGTAACTAGCTCTTTTCCTCAGTTTCTCTTCACCACTTTATCCTGGTGTTTTTATGCAGCTCAGTGTTGTAGGAAAGAGAATGTCAGAGCATTTGTAATTTATTTTCCCGGTAAAGCTCTGTTCTGATGAAGTACCTAGCTTTCAAAAAACTTTTCCTTTTTTTTCCCCTGCAGTTTTCAGTTGGGCCGACTGGGTCTGATTGAGGTAACTTGCTGGAGGGTACAGAATCAGCTAGTGGCTTCACCAGAGGTGCTTGCTGCCAGCCCTTCATTCTTTGCTTCACAGGCTTTGGAAAATTCTTGTGTCATAGTTTACTGTGGTTTGCCTTAAATGAGATGCCAAAGGAGAATGGAAGAACTAAGTTAATGAAATATCACCCCCTCACTAGATAAACTGTATTATTCAACTTAGTTAAATAAATTAAGCCTACACGAATTGCAGAAGTTGTCTCCAGCAGCTGTATTTAGAGAGTCTCTTCATTATTAATTATCATGAATTAATTACGATTGTTCATTAAAATTAATAAATCACATCACAGCAAGTCAACTTCAAGTTGCACAGAAGTATGCTACTGACTTACACGTAGAAGTAAAATAGCTAATACATGCAACATATTTTGGATGTATTACCACAATATACGTTAGGTATTATTATTATTAGCATGGTATAAAAACTACCTGTTGATCATTGGATGGTAAGCGGAATGAATGGCTGTGATGATTTCATGTTTTAAAAGCTCATTCTTTAATATTATTTTAAGTATTATACAGTAATAAATTAAATGGTGTAAGGTCCTGTGCTCACAACCCTTTGAGGATTAGGACTAGATTTCCTTTTCATAGCTATTTGCAGTTCTTTCCAGAGGATAAAGAAACAACAAAAGGCAATTTTCTGAAAGGTTGATACATGTCTAGAAACCTGAGCTGCCTCATTTTGATAGACAAGTATGAGTGATAATGCTGCTGTCCTTCATAAGCACGTACAACTGTGAAATCTCAAGGACTTTTTATAGCTATAAAGTAGCAAAACAACTGGTGAGAGACATTCGTAAATTAAACATTTTAAGGGATAATACCAGAGAGAGTGGAAATAAGACACAAAGTGTTTATAATCCACCTTCATGCAAGAATGAAAATTAATATGGGATTAAAGTAAAAACTATAGCTAGAGCATGGTCTCAGTTCCTCACTGGGTCAGCTGGTTTCAAAATGAAAGAACTTTAGCAGGGAAAACACACATGGGATAGCATGTCAAGGAGACGTGGTTGTTTGAAAGGCCCATGATTAGAGCAGGAAAGCATAAGCAAGGGCTAGTGGGCTCTACTCTCATGTCTGCCACTGACCCTATGTGTGAGATCTACAATGGTTCACTTCTGCTAGCATTTCCAAACTTAGAAACGTACATGTAGGCTGTGAAATCCATATTTATGTAATGAAATCAATGCAAGTTGCAGATGCTTCCTGTATCTCGCCTTGAGAACCCAATGCTCAATTAGTCTGGCAGATTACTGCAGCTCATCAGTTCAGGTAACTGCCTTTCAAACAGCGATGTTCTAAGATGCATCCCATATTGCAGAATCCAGATAGCTATTGTTCTGAGACAGGAGGTGCATGGTATGTTTTAGGGAAAAAATATCATGAAAGCTATAGGCAAGCACCCAGTGTTAATGGTACAGAACAGAGGCTCATGGAGAGATCTGGAGGACCCCAGTGCCATGTACATCTATGGAAACAGGTGAAAAAGGCATGGCTTGCTGCATACTCCCCGCAAAAGATACTGGCTAAAGAAGAGTGTGACAGGCTTCTCACTGAGCTACCTCAAGACCCTATAACCAAGTTGAAAGAAAAAGCCACAAAACTTCTATCTGTCTCCTTAAAGTGATCTGGCCACTGACAGGTATAAGCACATGTGTAGATGGGGCCTAACTGAAGAGTAAAGCATCACCATCTACATGTGCGACACTATTAGACTGCAGTAAACTAATTAATGCCACTGTAAGAAAGTACTGTCGGGGACAAGTACTATCTTAGGGCAGGGTAATTAACTGTGACTAAATGCATGTGTAGACGCTGAACCTGGGAGTAGTTTACTCCAGCTCAAACTGCTCTGGAGTTTATTGCTTTGCATTAATTGCACGTGCAGATGCACCCATATTGACTCTGATGAGTCAAAAAAAGGCAGAAAAAAGCCAGAGCTCCTAATCTTATTTATACCCAAGAAGAAGCAGCAATCACTAACAAGATTATCAACCACTGGGGTAAATTCATCCCTGAATTAATTATAATGATTATACTGCAAGCTGCTCTCCCTCTCCCCTTCAACATGATCAAGATTAGCATAGGTCATATTCTGCTCTAAATTCTGCTTGAAGAAATGTGGAGTAATTACACTGACTTCTATACTTACTCTTAAACCTCCCTACCAAATAAGTTCAACATCCTTCTATACCTTTCTTACAATATCTAAATGGATGGAAAGCCTTACACCCTTTATTCTACCTGGCAGATTTCTTTGTTAGGGAGGTAGAAAGGGAATCAATTCAAGTCCACTATGCTGCATGGCCTCCTTTGTTCCAACCTAGACATCTGTCATATAACTAGCCTGATGCTAGTAAAGTAATGAGCCTGGCACAACCAGTATCTATCCCCATGCAATCCCAGTACCCCTTACAAGTGCCTAGAAGTTGGACTGGGTGAGAGCCATAAGTGTTTCAGAACTCCAGTGAATTAAGTTTAAGTTCTTCAGATAAATGGTATGAGATCTGCTGACATACATTTTCCAAAACTCCATCCTAATTAGACTGGCAAATCGTTTGAAGTCCATGCAAAAACACGTAAATGTCCTGCTTTGGAAGGAAGGATTTCGAACAGAATGGAAATAGATCTTTTTAACAAGGTTATGATCAAGGGTATATCTATACTCTAGACTTCAACATAATGTCAAGATACCTTGCCCTACCTTTCAGTGAGCTAGCTTGGGACCAGAAGCACTCTAGCTGTGGCAACCTGAAATGCCAAGTAGGCCAATTTACCCTGCTTCTCAGCAGTGTACATATACCCCACCAGTGTGTTTATTTGGATGCATGCCAGCTATATCAATAGCTGACAAACTTGAAGAAGTTTGTCAGCTGGGCTCCCTGGAGAAATTCTTAACTTTATCTGCTTCATACTGTTTCATTCACATATACATGATCCATTTATCTGATCTACTATTTCCAATGATTTGCCTAGAGATGATGGTCTCAGGGCATAGAAAAATAGCCTGAGGCAAGCAACAGAATAAAGATCAAAGGCTGTCATTTTGTTAAATAAGAAAGCTACAGTTAAATGGATTTTTAAATAGGGTGTTAAACCTAACTTCTAACTTTAGGGTGTGCCCTCTACTAGCAGTTGTGTTACTGACTTCACATCTCCACAGTATTTTGAGCTGATAAGGTTGGAAAGATTTAAACAGTTTTACTAACTAAAGCAATATGTTATCAAACAAAAACTTAAGGGAAACTCATTATTAATCAATCCATTATACAATTAATTACATGGGCAGAATAACATGTTTTTGTTTTGTCCTATAAATGTGATATATTAAACAGGAAAACTATTAGAAGCATATTGCTGTCAAACAGCTGAAACAAAACACATATATTATACACAAAAATATAGGTTTAGAGTTTCATAGATCATGAGGTCAGAATGGACCATAATGACCAACTCACCTTATTTCCTGTCTAACACAGATCTGGAACTCCTCTGAATTCATTTTTGTTTGAAGCAGAGTATATCTTTTGGGGAAAAACGACCCGGTTTAACTTCCCCTTTTCTGATCACAGCACAGGGGGTACACCAAAAAAATTAACAAAACACCAAAAAACCCACACATTCTGTGGAGACCTCTGCAATATGCACCCATGCTGAATGAGCTGACTTAAAGGCACAGAGCCAGATCATCAGCTGGCATGACCTAGCATAAAGATTCCAAACATTTGGGGGTTTTGATTACCATAACTCTCTTGGCTTCTTCCTTGGAAACTAATGTCAAAGGAGGCCAGCTTCTTCTTGGAGAGTTTTATTTTCCTATCCAATCACAGAAAGGGTTTCCTGCTCTGAGGAACACAATGCTCTGTCCTCCCAAACTGTCATTTCCTGCATCCCGAAAGGTCTTAAAAGATCTCCTGGAGACACTGCATCTCTGCACAGAGGTCCTGTTCCTTGCCACATCTCTTTTGCCCCAACTCTTTAGCAGCATGATTAAATGGGTCTTTGTGGCTTTTACAGAGGCATATTGTGCGGGGGAGAAAAGAAGGGGATGAAAGTACTGTCACAGGCATGGTCTTCCCATGTTAATCTTGAAAACAAGTCCCCCAGTGCACGTCCTGGCTCCTGTACGCTGTATACACGGTTAGAACTGTAACTTTAGTACTAGAAATCTGAACCATTTACTAGCTGGATGGAACAACAGTAGTTTGATAGCTTGTGACCCAACTTTTTGCATGACACATTCTACTAGAGAATAGAGCTTAATAAAGTTTGCTGATGGATTCCATGCTATAACAACTCTAGTATATATTCAGAGACCATTTTTTTCCCCTCATATTTGTGAGGCTAGGTTAAAGTAAAATCACCCAACTTTGTAAAAGCTCTCTTTGTGTATTTTCCTTTTGGTCACACCCCTCTTTCATTTCTTAAGGACATCCTTTTATCCCTAGTCATTAATAAATTTACCTTTTCACCCATGGCACCTTTGGGTCCATTTTCTCCAGCATCACCCTACAAGTAAAAAAATAATGTTTATGCAAGAAGACACCATCCAGACATGTAGCAATTCTCAAACAGCATTGCCAAGCTAACAGCTTTAATTAATTAGCTGGTGTGTATATAGCACAACTAAAAACATATTTAGGTATGTGAAGTAACACACTAATTGAGTATTCATTCAACTAAAATCCACAGAAGGAGAAAACATGGTATGATATATTTCATTTAGGTTGCCTGAAGTACAACTTTTACTATTGTTATGTGTGTTCAGTGATAGGAAAGACTCTGCAAAGCTATTAAGTCCTTTATAGTTCCTTGGGAAAACACAAGCTGTCACATCACTTCATCTTTTTGTCAGTTTAGTCTACAGACTTCTCCAGTTCATTTTGGCCCAGCAATGAAGAACTGATTTTATGATGATTCAGCACAGAAACAGCCAATACATGCGTTTCACCAGAGAGACATTGACCGAGACACATCTGATCAAAGAAAGTTAGCAGCTACTAACTTCCAATATATTTTATTAGTATTTTGAAGTGATTCATGATATGCTCTTTGAATTTCAAGTATTTCCCCATGAATCAGTCACAAGCTAGCAAAACTTCAATAAAATACAGACTGAGCTGCCAAAACTGTCCATGCCTATGTGAAAATGCTAAGTACTATTTATTATTATTAAAAGAGAAGACGTCCAGCTAATACTCCCAGCACCAGCTAGCAGAAAAGTTCCTTATTTCAAGTTATCTTTTCTTCCCAGAGATGCTTTAAAAGTATTACCCATATGCAAAGAGGTTGACCCTTATTTATACTAATTTATCTGCATTAAAGCAACAGTACTTGAGAAGGGCCTTACTGTAAATGAGAACCAGGCTCAAAGACTTCTATAGAATAGCAAGAAACAAGAGAGAATCATTTTTTAAAAATATTTTTCATTATACAAAAAGCATTGATAAATATTATCTGTAAACAGCCCAGAGTGGAATAGTGGGCAATGACCAAATACACAGAATACTGTGCAAGCAATAGATAACTCTCATTTATATAGTATTCGCTGAGCAATTTTCATTGCTTTTAACTTTTCATGTGTTCCTGCCCTCCCACTCCACCTGCTTCCGTACCTGGTTGGAGTTACTTCATAAATGGCTAGAGGTAGAGGCATAATTGGATGCCTGAAAGCACTGGGTGGTAGCAGCACACATGGCAGCATCACCAGCTGTGGCACTGCGGGCACGGCGGTGGCCTACCTGGCAGCACAGCTGCTGCCATTTTTGTGCTCCACCCTCAAGGTCAGTACCCAGAGCTGGTGCCCTGGTTGCTTCCCCTTCATTATGCTACTGGCTCTCAGCTACTTGCCTCATTGCCCCAGAATGAGGAAACGTTAAGAGGGTCAAAATACGTATGTCCACCGTGTGATCTGACAATCCAAAATAGACCTTTAAGGAAATGCAGCCAGGTTTTGTTTTTGGCAGCTGTGAGATTGCACTAAATTTTATTCACAGGGGATGGACTGGCCCCCAACCCTCCCCATGAGGTCTGTAGCAGCCAAGAATTGGGCTCCTAGTGTTCCCCTAAGAGCACTTTTTTGTAGTCTGATTTTGAATCACTGACTTTTATGGCAGTTACTAAAATCTAGTGGCAGGAGAATAGAAATACAGGGTTACAGCTGTTCAAGGCAAATCAATTGCTCCCCACTCATAAAATGGCTATAACTCCTCAAGGCAGTGTAATAAATCTGCATAATAAATGGGATGTTATATTGGGATGGTCCCCTTAAGTTAGAAAAACATCTAATCTTTCTAAGAGAAAGTTTTCATTTAATAGTCCACCCCAAATTTGATACAAAATTCCACTTAGCCAGAGAGCTTCATTATAATAGACAGGCTATTCCATACGCCCTAAACATGATCATAGTGGGTAATTATATCTAGGAAAATTTTAATTAAAGGCCTGGTGAAGCACAAAAATACCCCCAGAGCCAAAAAGGAATTTTTTTTCCAGGTATATTAAACATTTTATATCATGGCTTAGGCACTGGTTTTATCATGGCACTTTTTAAGAAAGCTAAGATATGATCATGATGAAATATAATGGGCAAAAATAATGGACAATACATGAAATGTCAAAAATGACTGGTATTAATTTGTGTGCCAAATAAACGAATACATGATTACTGAAATTTTTCATATGTCTTGAAATCTAAAGAGAGTCAAGCATTTCTTAGGGTGATATCTTTTACTGGACCAACTGCATGATCTTAATTGAAATTTAACTAAAGTGACAATCAGATAGGAAAAAAGTGCTGATTGTGATGTTTACATTTTGGGGTAAGTTTTCAAAAGTACTCTATATGTGTCTTCCCAATTTGCAAGTGTGATTTCCATTTGTGATTTTGAGTATACAGAAAATGAATTGTGGGTACAAGCTCTATTTACATCTACAATCAAATAGACTTAAGCTGATCTGGAGCTGTAATTCAATTGCAGATGCAAAATGTGAGTGAAAACTTATGACAAGCAAATGGCTCCCCCCAAAGAGCGGCCACCTTGGCTATTTCTATTTATAGAAGATCATACTATGCATCTCTTCCTCACATTAGGAAGTATCTTTCTCCTTGATTAGCGCCACACATTATACTGCTTCAAGTACAAACCTTACTCATGTTAAGAAGCACTTTTTCACATGAGGACTACCACTGAAGTTCTGTCCTGATGGGACAAAATCGAGCCCATGGCTCCTACTCTGTCGCTGCTTCTACTTTACTCAGTTGTAACAGCTGATTTCATTGAGATAACTCCTCACTGACTCCCCTTGCAAGTGAGAAGAGAATCAGATTCTCTCAGCTTTACCTAACGTGACCCACACAATAATACGGTGCTAAGCAGCAGAGAACTGGGCCCTGCCTCTGCCCCTCTGAGAACTGGGCATCTATCATTGGGCATCTATCATCAGAAATCTAGACAGGTATCACCATGCAACCTGACACTTATGTAATGAATGACTACTCACAGACAAGCAGAATCCCAAGACAAATTATGAAAAGAGTTGATTTTCCATGTATTCAGAATAGGCACATCTTCTTTCAATATTGTTTGTAGAGACAGAGCTTAACTCCACACTCCTTGCATGTGTTAGCAAACATGTAGAATATGCAGTCTCATTGGATTCCACAGAATTACTTGTCTAACCAGGTCCTACTTTGTATGTCAGGATTGTGTAACGGGGTCCGCAGTCTTGAGAGTTTAGTGACTTAATTCTAGTTACTAACTTCTGACACAGTCAGCAGATGGTCGCTGACAGATCAGCATCAGCAGTGAGGATAATACTTCAAAACAAGACAAACACAGGAAAGTGAAATATGCCTCACCTTTTCTCCGCGTTCTCCTGGATCACCCTGATCAAAGGAGTCAGAAGAAAATCTTGATTTTATTAACATATCCAATGCTCAGAGTGAGTCATTACATGGCTAAACAGAAGGGTCATGAGACATCAGACAACGTATTCAATACAAGGCACTGTACAGCAGCTGTATTTTATTTAATAATGTGGATTATTCCAGAGAAGAAGCCATGTCATGAATGATTCAAAATAAAATTCTGATGAGCTACGCAACATTATACTTGCAGTGCCATCCACAGTTAAAAGACTGGTAATTCTTTTGGTTTCTTACTCTGGCTTACACAGAGGGTAAAAATTAGGGTCATGTCTCTATAAAGAAAATCACCAGGATAAAGAGAAACCAGAAGAAAATGTACACAGCTCTCCTCCTTGCTGAAGGAGAGGGAAAAAATAAACAAGAATTCTTGAGGGTGAACAGTGGATCTGGAGGACAATTGTGAAGAAAGGAAAACCTTTAAAGCACCTTGACCAGATTCGTAATGTAGGACAGAGTAAAGAGCCTTCCGTGTTCCCAAAGTGCAAAATAAAAGGACAGTTTATAGCCAGTACTTTTAAAAATTACAATGGGCTCAAGAGGACAGTTCAAAGGCCTATATACATTCATATGCTGAATCTGACCCTGACAACTCATCACTGCATTTTCAACCACTCTATCCCTTTGGATGGCAGATGGTCGCTAGGCAACTCCATGAATACTGCTGTGAATACGAATTAAACATTAACTGCCATCATTTGGCTTTCACAGTGGATAAAGTGAGAAAAGGCTATACCCCCACATGGCTTGTTCTTTTCCCTGATGGACAGGAAGCAACACAACAAATTCTAAAGTCTGCCCCAGCTGTCTGTCACTGTCAATGTGATGGTAAAATCAGCTGAGTGAGCACCCAGAGACACTCTCATACAGATGAAGGGATTAGACCGTGGTGTTACCCTTTCTGAGAGACCACCAATCCAAACATGTTGGACACACAGAAAAACATTGTTTAAAAAAATACGCTTGTTTTTGCCATAATGACTACTGGCCCAACTTTGCCTTCACTGGAGTTTTCTGCTAACTTCTAAAAGAGCAGGATCGGATCACAAGTTTTAACCTTGAAGCTTATCAAATAATTGAGCACAGTGATCCTTGAAAAAAAGTCTGAAATACATGTCAGGAGCATAAATAAAGGCCTAGGACAAGAGCTCCAAATTTCCAAACACTTGAACATATGGCTTGCAGTGCATATCCATGTATCAGTGATGCTGGCTGGAATTGTATGCATGCCATGGAAAAATATACTTCTTTACAGTGAAATATGGAAAACTTCTTTACAGCACTGAACACTGTATGTAGGAAGATCATTAAAAAAAAATCATGAAATAAACCAAGCCAAAGCATGACAGAGCCATTCACTTGTGCTTCTGTGCTTTAATTTTAATCAGTTTTGTACACTAACCTTAAGTCCAGGTGTTCCCCTTTCTCCAACTGCACCGGGCAAACCTGGATCACCCTAGCATGGCAATAAATACAGAGATTGATAAAAACAAGATGAAGAATATCATCAATATTCTAACCAAATATCCCCTACTGGCAAACAGGTAACAATGGACAAATATCAAACGCATTCCATTTAAATAAATATCTGAAAGTTGGGATGCTTATACTAAGCATCCTGAACCACTTGGGATGGCTTCTGATTTCAGTTACTCCAATATAAGTCAGTCACTGGAGTCAGTGAGTTTACAGAGTTGTAAGATGGCAATGAGAGAAGGATCAGGACCTTTCAGTCTGCAAAACTGACCCATTAACCTCATACAAGTAGCCTTTCAAAGGCATGTGCCCATACAGTGAATCTGACGCTGACAATTTATCTTTTCATTTTTGACCTTTCTAGCTAATCCCTGCATTTTTGACCCCTCTAGGTCATCCCCAATCATTTGGATGGAAGACTGCCATCCAAAGACTGCCAGCATCTCCTCCTCTTGTTTAGCCTGGAAAAGCACAAAAAATACTAGTATTGGAGTGATGTTGTATTGTATTGTATTGTGTTGAAAACTATTGAGTTACTTTGGCACTTCAGTTCTAATCTCAGTCATAAGACAGATATGCGGAGAATTGTGGAAAATTATGATAAAAAAATGCTAGATTTCTAGCATAAAAGGGCCTGCTCTAGAAATGAAAGAGTTTTGGGGGAGTTGGTGATTTTTTAATTTTTGTATGTGAACTCATTTGCCCATTTCTCTTGGCTTGGTACTTGTAATAAGAGCTAACAGTTGAAAATGAAGTGATATACAGTAACCACAACCACTTAGAGGTTTTTATTATTATTATAATTTTGAAATAAGGTAGTTCTCATTTCTCTCCCCATACAGGTAAACGAAGACAAGTTTTAAAAAAATGTAATGGATAGTTCACCAAATTAATACATTTAAGAAGTTAACAAATAATGCTCCCAATAAACTCTTCTTTGTTCAAACACTTAATGAGATAATCATCAGCCTCAGTAACTTTTAATAACACACATGTAGAGTACAGCCTACTGTAACTACGAGTCTTCGTAAAAAGTATTAAAAAGGCACAAGATTTAAAAAATGCATGCCTAAAGGTGGACTCCAAAATTCATAGTTAGGTACTTAAATTAAATGGTCTGGTTTTCAAAAGTGCTTAACCTTCAATAGCTCCCATTATAATTGAACTATAAATGGACACAAGCAATGCAGAAGAGTCTACATTTCATGTTCAGGAACTCAGAGGACAAAATGATGTTTGGATAAATTCTTCAAGCCTTGCCTTGCCTTCTCTTTTTTCTTCATAGAAAATCAGGCAATTTCCCTAACAAGTTATTTTGTAAATATAAATGTTATAATTTTGTAAATGTTACAGGAGCGCTAACATGGAATCTAGTTGCAACCTCCATTCTAGAGAGAGTACTTTTCTGCAACATTTTCCACAGGCACGAGCCTTTGCCATTTCTAACTTGTATAATCATTTACAAATCGCATATATAGAATACAGTTCCTGTTGAGACTCTCCCGAAAGCATTTGTGACATGCAGTGAGGAAAGTCTTCGAAGCAGGAGATGAGCCATCTAATCACCATGATGGTTACAGCATTACAGGGAGGCATAAAGTCACAATCAATGTTCCCCAAGATTCTTGAATGTGTCCTGTCTGATACTGTAGTAGACAAGCTTGACCCATCAGGAGGCAAGCATTTACAGCTACTGACTCTCAAGCATCAGGGCCCTACAAAGGGCTGACCTAAAAAGCATTTGAAGAAAAACTGTCATTTGAGACAACGAGATGGAAAAGGCACTTGCATGTACACTCATTTCTCCTCCTCCCCTCCAAAGAATGAGTCACTGTTCATTTCTGTCCCCTTCCCTTAAAACAGCTGTTGCCCACTGATACTCTCTCAGGGCTTAAGCCTTTAATCAAAGTGTCAGGGTTCCAAGGCTCCATCTTCTACTAGGGCTTGCATATCAGTGGTATTAATGCCTGTAGCTACCAGGGCGGTAGAGAGAGACTGCTAAAGTAGGACAGAAGAATCAGCTTATTTTCTCTGAAATGAAGGGAAAACCTTAAGCTGTTATCTGGTTAGAGTAAAACCCTCTTAAAACAACAGACTTGTCCTGAGCCTCTTTGCAAGTCTCTCTAACTTAGTTCTTCTGTCCTCTGTTCTGGATTTTTGGCACTGCTGGTACAAGGACAGAGGATATGCCCCACAGGAGATCAGCTCTAGAGGAAAGAGAGACTGAAAGCAGGGCTTCAGGAACAGTTTATGAGTGACCTTATGCTTCTGAGATGATTTTCTTCCTCTGAATTTAATGACCAGCACTTCAGAAATAATTTCACTTTCTGACTTTAATAATACATACTTTCCCTTCAATTTTTCATCTTTCACTTTCTCAGAAAATTGTTTTGTTTCTGGGGACTCGTCTACCCAAGGATGTTTAGCTAAAGCACAGTAACACAGTCCTCTTCATCCACTGTGCAGTAAGTTCATCCCTTGTGCCACCATAAAAAATGGGGTGCAAAGGTGGCAAACAGGCATCCTTGCCTCTTGTTATGCTCTAATTGCCCACAAATAGTCACATAAATAAATCTAGTCACAGACTGGTTCTTATAGGGGAGGGCACATATTGCACGCTCCTACAGACATGTGTAAGTGCATGTTCACACTGCCCTGCCCCAACCCAGGACGTGCATCTGCAAGCGGAAAACACCTGGGGGATGCATGACCTGGGTTAAATCCCCTGCAGGGGGATTCCTGGGTCACATGTCTTCAGGTGGAGGAACCCATGGGCCATTTTCCCTCAGGATCAGGCACCTGAAGCTCCAGGAGTGGCAGACAAGCAACCATGTGGCACAGAAGCTATGGTGATGTCTGCTTCTGCTGATCAGCTGTGCTCAGACACATCCCAGCACAGCTGATGCCATAACAAAAATGACATCTATTTATACTTTAAGAGCAAGCCTTATGGGCAGTTACTGTGAAGTAGCTGATGTGCTATAAATCCTGTGCAGAGCATGCTGAGATGTGCACACAAGGCCCTCCCCTGATTGCATAGTGTCAGCACTGCAAAATCTCCACTCTTCAGGGCCTCAGCATTTGAATGCCTGTACACACAGTTCTGGGTAAGATTTTCTACCAGAAAAACAAACCTAGGAGAATTCTCCCAGATGATTTGAATGCATGTATGCTGCCTGTGTGTACCATAGCTTACATCACTTCCACTTAGTGTAAAATAAGAGCATTTGCATGGGAACAGTTTGAAGCAGCTTGGTGCATTGTAAATTCTGTAAATTTATAACCTAGCTTGCTGAGCCCCAAATTCCCCATGTAGACAAGCCTTGGTGGCAGAACTGGCTCTGATATTACTGAATATGTTTACTAGCATGCACACAGGAGACTCTACACAATCAGCAGCTTGCTTAGAGCTATCAGACCCAAGTGACTTAGCAGATTCATGTATTTCCAGGAACTTCATAATATGTACTCAACCCACATCTCACCTAGCAGCCAAAGTAACATCCTTCATTCCTCATTCACCATTTTAAAATGTGTTACACAGCATGCAAGTGGAGCCTTCCAGATGATGGAGGACTAGCAGCCCATTCTAGTCCCAGCTTGTTTGTAAAACTACCCTATGCTAAGCTTTCTAAACTTCAACTACAAATGTAGTACAAGGCTCCATGTTTCCTGCAGCAGGACATTAATGAGAAACTAAAAATTTCCTCTATCCCTTCTCCATTTTACTAATAGAAAATTTGTCAAGCCTAAGGGTACTCTGAAAGGTTATTTCACAAAAACTTTCTAGCCAGTCCTTGCTTAGTGGTGTGACCACAATGGACAGTGGTGACCTCTGAGGCAGGAAAGAGGGTGTATAAAAAAAGTTTCAGTGGCCTACTCTACAATGCATTCCATCTCTGCAACCTGCAGAGAACACCACTACAAAAAAAGAAATGTAACCACAAAAGGAAAATGGCTGAACTTTAAAATGTGACTGTCTCCAAGGAATAATTGATAACATACTTCAAGAGCAGTAGCAAAACAGAAGGGGAGGCTGCAGAGTTTTATTCAAGGAAAGTTACAATTTCAAAGATAGATACTATTGCACATAATCACTTACGGTTTTTTAGCATAATTGTCTGATCGTAGTATGGACCAAATTCTGTCCTTCAGTTGCATGGTTTGAACTAAGGGCAGATTTGGGCCATATATGTAATTTAACAGTTTCCACTTTTTTTAAAACTTAAAAAAATTCTTGACAACCTTTTACATCCTCAGTTGATGAGGAAATTCCATAGGTAGTTACAAAGCAAAACAGCAGCTGACATTTAAATACACAGAGATTGATAGTGCCTCCTCTGCTATACCTTAAAACACAACATTATTTAAAAAATATTGGTCCCAAACGACCACTTTAGTATTTAGGCTGAAAATAATTTAGAATGCATTTGTTAGCAACTATGGTTTATTACGGTTTTGCTATTTATTTACATATTTATTTATTTATGTATTACCAAAACACATTTTAAAGCTAGAATATAAAACACTGCATGGGCTGTTTTAACCATTCAACCACTTACTATTTTATAGAGTAATATAAAAGATAGATGTAATTTAAAGGTTGAAGAATGATTACACCTTTCTTTTGAGGACATGAGGCACCAAAGGAAAAATCTATCATTCAACAATGCTATTACATGTAATGATTTCAATCAGATTATTTTTCAATGGGGCATTAGTCAATTGAAATAAACTGTGAATTTCACTCTTTCTTCTAATATAGTTTTACATTCACTGTGCCACCATGGATGTGTTTCCTGACAAGTGTTAAAGTCTGTCCTTAACAATGCTGACGATGAAGGTGTTAGATTGTAGAAACAGTTGTCTTCTACACATCATTTAGCTTTGAAAGGTATTAAGAACTTGTTTGCTTTTTTCCCACCAAACAGTGACTCTGTCCACTGCACATTCTAAGTTCAGTTAATTGCCTACTTTCTC